TCATCATACAATGTCTAAAACAGAGATCACCAACCTTTATAAGTCGCAACACTATAGCCGTAGTAACAGATTTTCGGGACACATGGATGAATATTATGTAAAGGACAATAAATCGTAATTTCGGAAATGTTCTGGAGGAATTTTAAAAATCTCATGACATTTCTGTGTCGCGACACACATGTTGTAAAACGGCTATTAAATATCTAGAGATACGGAAATAATTGTTATCTAGAATTAATATGAATCATTTAAACAACATTTTATACATTTGTCACTAACCATAAAACAATTCGACTAACATAAACACAGTACAGTAACAGGCCTACTTAATTCGATACTGCCAGCATCCTTGTCAACATAACCTCAACTTTAGGCCTGCTACGCGCATGGCTACGTGTCTGAGAACTGTAATGATCTTGAATTTCATGTTAATGTTTACCTCCAAAATGCATATTAGTGATACTATGCAATACAACGTTGATGAATGCTATTTCCAGGACTATCTAAGCATTTAATTTATTCTAGTGCAATCCGTTTCTCTATCGACTGAAACAAAATTGACCTGCCAAGAGAGAAAATGTTAATGTGAGACAGATTTTTATAATGTAGACTATACTGTACTGCACTGCGCTGGCTGAGCGGTGCTACGTAACCTTCCGCGTTGCAGAGGGCTTGCGCCACAGCAGTTTCGTAGGATATTACGATGATATTAACATCAGAATGCAAAGCAGATATACTGTGTTTCATAATGTAATGAAGCAGACCAAATATTAATTTAGAAGTTTTCATATACACGTATATGAAAATACAACCAAACCTTATACAGTATATAGAATTTCAAAAAGTTGTGCACAACGTTAAATATATCGAAAATGTTAGTAATAACAAATAATTTCTCTAATATAACAGTAAGTACAATAAAAGTGGTTTAGATAAAAGGCTGTTTAAAAAACAAATTAACAACTAAGAGAAAGAAATAAAAAAAGAATACTTCATGCCAAACTTCGTAAATTTTAATATTTAAACGTCGTAAGGCATTTTGCCCAATAAATGTCGCCAGATATATTATATATGTTTACATAATTTTATATCTACAATTTCTCTTTGAGAACCAATGAGTGTCTCCCCTCATTTCTCTACATGTTCAATGGGATTCAGTCACAATAACCACTCAGAGCGTCACGCAACCAACACCACGCGTTAAGTACATGTACAGTGCTCGCTCATGTAAGCAAAGCGGCAGTATAAAACGAAGCAAAAATATAACATGAGACTACTGCACACTTATACATTTTATTATATAAAATGTGCTATATGCTACACTATCCATTAATAATTCGGAGTGGAGAAGTATGTACCCAGAACTTTAAAAATACAAGGAACAAATCACACTTTCATTAAAACTTTTGTTATTTAAAATGCTCTCCTTTAAAACGTCTCGGGTAATACTCGTCTATATGTATACATTTGTTTTGTTTCCTCTCCTTAACCCTTCAAAGCTTAATGGCTATTATGTGTACCACCTGTCTTGGCATTAAACAAATTTTGAATTTTTGCCCAGAAAGTGTATTTAAATGTTTCGCGTGATTTTCAGAATAAATAGCTATTATTTCTATAGCATCATCCAGAGGCAATGTTTTTCTTATGTCGCAAGAATTCAAATTGAAATATTATTCAGAAGATATGCGTGCTTCAAAGGGTTGAATCGTCCATTCTTTATAGAGGTTCAACATACGCTGAATGTTCTACCAAGAGTAAAATTACCATGAGTTTTAATAGGTCCACTTACGACTTTAATTTCCATGTCTTCCTTTTCCTAACTTGATGCGTATACGTGGACCTCTTACATTAGATCCTTTATCACAGGTCAGAGAGCAAACAGCGAGCTCCATCCAGCCCTTTCTAACTAAAGCGCCGATTCATTTCCGTCTACACACAGGTTATTTATATATTCTTTGTATGATACGCGATTTACAGCTCCGTTTTTTTCTTTCCAATCACAACTACCATTAGTAGCTGATTTGGTACTTGAAAATCCAAATAATAAACATCTTTATATAATTTCCTGACTATGATATGGCGGAGCAGAATTGGAGTTTAAAACGGAAAGAAATTATTAACATTCGATCACTGTGCAAGAGTTGCTTAATGTACTCGTACTAACGATTCAAGAAAATACGGATGTTACCCATTTACCATAATTAACGCATTAATTTGAGAATATTAATAAGAAAGGGGTTAACTTTGTTATATATTTTAAGTAATTTAAAAACATAAAGAAAAATTGAGCTGATCAGCGTGTAAATTCTAAGAAACTAATTTTCGTATAGCAACCCCTCCTACACTATTCGCCCGAAAATTTGCAACCAATACTTTACAAGTAATAACATTTTCTGATATGGCAAAGCAGCGTGTACAATTTTGATTCCATTTAGTCTTTCTTGTGACTTCATTCTAAAACACTAATCTTAATATTTAAGCTGTACGTATAGCTATGTAATTTATTCGTGTGTCAGAAGTACCTCTACAGTCATATTTACAAGAGAAAAGACGAGCTAATCTACACTGCTCACAGCTGCACTTCGAACTCCATGCCAGCAACAACATACATGGAAGCATCTTTACTGAACGCAAGCTAAAATCAGAGGATATATAATATTTACAATTTCGTTCACTTAAATGCCTACGCGTTGCGGTCAGTATAATTAATTTACACATTTAAATTTATTTGTCACAAAAAAAAAACTATTGTACTGTGACCACACGCGATTCTTTCCTTTTTAGGGGTGAAATTTTCATTCAAGGAAAATCTGCTTTTCATACGTTTTGTTTATTGCATTACTTAAATTCAGAAAATCCATTTATGTTTGTCCCGTAGCTCAGGATTTGAAAAACCGTTCTGTAATTAATATTTTGTATAGGACCTACATTTAATAAACAGAAACAAAGAACATCTCATCAACCTATAAGAACAATTTCGTCCATAATTATGCGTGAAATGCGCGAAATTAAAACTAAAAAATCTGTTCGTGTAGTACAATACATTAAAATACTTAAACATGTGAATGTATTGGATCTTGTTTTGAGCCATACTGAACTGGCTGTCAGCTCCCAACTTGGGTGTGTAGCCATAACTGATACCCTATTCTACAGGCCTGAAGGACATGTCAGACCCTGCACAGGGGGTAATACAATATCTTACAGGAATAAATGCTTAACAATGAGTTTGGAATATTAAAATCCATGGGGATCTAGCCAACTATTAGATTCTATTTCCACCAGCTGACACATAAACACATAAGAAAGGAAAATAATTATACTCGTATTTCCTTCACTTTCAAATCTTCGGAGCAGCTTCCGTGCATCTCCAATTATTCTGCTCCCCAACTCATTACTTCGCTGAGAGAGAACGCTTGTTTAGCATGTCACGAAGTTCTGAACACATTTATACAATTATACCGAGATGCACTTAGCGAACACACACGCCGACTCGTGGGCTGGTTCTGTCGGAACTCGATATTAAACTAACAGCCCTACACTACGAATTTTGGAGCCTGCTTAATTCAACCTACATTAAACTACAGCACTTTCAAGTCGCCAGCGATTGAGAAAAATTGATCAGTCATGAATCTGAAGTTTGGACTTTGTTCTTCCGGGTTGTGACACGGTTTACAATCTTGTGATTACCACTCACAGCGATGTCACAGCTAGAACACCCAACACGAAGCTTTGTAAAGGATGTCTGCATATTCGTGAAGTCCGATACGCCATTTAGAAAACACAGTACGGTGGTTCTGTGTATTTCGTTAGGGATATCGGCTATCCTGGGTGAGGATTTTCGTGGGTTTCCTCAGTCGATTTAGGCAGTGGGCGGATAGCACCTTGACCAGGCAATGGTTGTTGCCTTCCAATCATGAATCATGCTACAATTCTGCCTTATGTAATCTAAATATTCATAGCGTCACTAAATAACATACAAAACAATCCAGAACACTTATTATAATGTATGTATGTATGTATGTATATGATGAACTGAATCCTAAAAGATGCATTTTATTTTTACCCCGTGTAATTTAGTGACATCAAGGTACACAACTGTGCACAATTTTTTTACAGACTGCACACGTCGTTAATAAGCTTCGTGGAATAGAAAAGAGGATTTTCTACTCTCCTTACGGTCATTATAAACCTATGGGTACAAAAGAAAGTATCTGTAGCCCCATTACATATAAAGCCACAATACTCAAAGCGAAAATCTTTAGTAATGTATGGGCTGAGTGGAAGCTGCACCCATGGATCAGAACTCCTCTGTCAGAACCATCGTTGCTGGCCCTACGCTCACACGAAGTTGATTAAGATCTGCTATACCACGTGATATCCCAAGGATGTGAATGTGGTATAAACGTGAAAGTGTCATCTGTCGATCTCAGAGACTGTCATCTGCAAATTTTCTTGGTCCACAAACACTGGGGTCGCGGGTTCGAACTAGTATTGCAGTCCTTAGCGTAGGTAGGAAAACCCTGAAATGGATCGAATCCCCTTCCAGTTGTTACCTAATTCTGTATCTCAAGGATTTATGGATCCAAATATCTGTATGAATCGGCTCAGGCCAGAAATCGGGCTTAGGAAAATTAATTTGTTTTCCTTTTCCTAACTGCAGGTGTATATAAATTCAGTTTAGCTCTTTCTTGCAGACTCACTCATTCATGGAGCTGAGCCCTTCTTGAGAAGCTACCAACTGTGCAGCTACTCAAGAACTTCCTAGCATTTATGGAACCCAAAGGTTTATTACCGTGTTCACAAGATCCCTTTACTTGTCCATATCCTGAGCCAGATTAATCCAATACATACCGTCTCTTTCTATCTCTCTAAGATCAATTTTAATATTGTCAACCTTCCTACGCCTTGGTCTTACCAATGGTCTCCTTCCTTCCGGCTCTTGAACCAATATCCTATATGCAGTCCTCCTCTCCCCCATTCGTGCTACAAGCCCTGTCCATCTCATCCTCCTTGACTTGATCATTCTAATTATATTTGGGGAAGAGTACAAGTTATGAAGCTCCTCATTATGCAGCCTTTCTTCCAGAAGTACTTATAAATACATGAATACACTGGGTGAAGGTTTGCCTATGAGGAGCGCGAAAGAAATCAGGCATAAGATGCGACCAGTGTCAAGTGTATAATACACGTATTAACACTGTAATAAAATCCGCGTTCGTAAAATGTATCAAGTTCGTGTCTTCCCACTTTGAAGAAAAACATGCGCTCTTTGAGTCTGCATCACAGAAAGTGACGTGTGGGGCTGCAAACGATTTCAATGCATTGGATATAACAGCTCGGTAGAATGGTTCTTGTACTCCAATATCCTGTTAAGTACGTGGCTTTTCATTTCGAATCAACAACATGAAACAGAAGCAGAGTACGAGATGTACAGTAAGGATTCGGATTTATTTTAAATGGGATGACCATAACAAGTCTCGCGGGGCGTGAAATTTTGTGTGAACACGTCATGTAAATGCGTAAAATAGCAACAACTAACGAACAGATGTTTCGCGTCACTGAAGTGATTCTGTTTGAAATAAGTAATCTAAGTGTAAAACAAGCAAATAAATGAATTTGCTAAAAGAATTGAAATGCTGTCCAGAACACTGCCATACGTGTAATTATTTTCGTGCGCGTGAAACAGCTTGTTGCTCTCTATTGCTTTCAGAAAATGCAGAGCCTGCTCCATACACGAATATATTTGGCAGGCCTTGTTAGCTAGAGTGTAAAGCCGACCACGCAGTTTCACCACACACGTTGAGATATGCCTTCACAGACAAGTTTGAGACTTAATGCCCCACATTGGCCTAACTTATACAGCCGGATATTGTGGCTGCCAGTCCGCAACTTCTGCACAATTACTTCATGCTGAGGAATTCCTGGGTTCCTTCACTAGCCTCTAATTTTTTTGTATTTCATGAAGTGGGGCGAGACACTCCAGTTGGTTCGTGTCGGCTGCCAATTGGCCTATTGTAAGAGCCCCCGACGACAGACGAGTATGAAGCAGTTGGTGTCATGAGAATTTCAATTAGAAGAAAACCTGCCCCAGTGTCACTTTGTCCACCACAAATACCACATGACTTGATCTGGCCTGAGATCGAACCTGCGCCGCCGAGGTGGGAAGCCGGCGGCTTGTCTCCACTGACGATTAGGAAAAGTGTGCTTCAAAATTCTGGACATTCACTTCATTTTTAGTAAGGTTACAATACTGTCTCGTAATAATTTAGAGCAACCCAAAAAAACACAAACTACTAGGCCAGAACCCTTTGTGCATTAACTTCCTTGTTACATAGGCCAGAACTATGTAAGCTGTGATATCAGTAACTCCAAGTTCTAACAAATTTTACGAAATGATTGATAATAAACTCCGAAACGAAGAGCAATTCTAGCCGAATCTGTATTACTAATTAAACCGAAAAAAAGTCAGAAGAAATAGTCCTACAATTTAACCGAAGCTGCAATTTAAGAGGACTTGGTTGTGACCTGTCGGTCCCCATTTATTGCACTATACAGTAATATGATTCATGACTTGGAAGGCATTAAGTGACTGTTATTTCGGAAGAAGTGTAAAGAGAAATGTCGTCCAATTGAAAGGTTTCAGCACAGACAGAAACTGTCCCTTACCCTTACCGTTTCAGTTTTTGAACTTACCTCCTGACTATGTAAATTAAAGAGTCACTTAAATGAAGGGATAACAATTCAGTTTTCATCATGCATTTTATGCTTTCAGCCTACCACAATCAAGTACGGCTTTTATTTTGTAATAACCGAGAAATACACACTAACAGAAAGTCTTAGAGGTCCAATATTTTAGTACTAACAAATATTCTATACACCTTTACGTACTACATCAACAGTTAATGTTCTGGTTTTATGTTACGAAGTCAAAGGTTTTCATGTGCCCACAGACTGGGGGTTTTGATTCTTAACAGGCACAATTAAAACGTTTGTAACATGCGAAAAATTTTACCCATATGTCTGCCACAGACAGACAGCAACTCGTATTCTGTTAAGTCACTATGAATACCCATTCTCAGAATATCTCATCCCTTAGCTGTGTCATCTGTCGTGGTTATGGTGACAATGCTGGCTTAGTAACCGCTGCATTGTCTTCATTCAAACGCGGTATCATATTTTTAAATTTTGCATTTTTCATCCAAAGATCCATAGGTTATTTGCAAATTGGAATCTATTTTACACATTTACAGTATGTATATATGAGGGCGCACATATTTAGCTGACAAGAAATGCTGTAATTATTAGGTAAAATTAAATAATATTAAAGTGTCATTTTTTAAACAACTAAAACACAACCTTCTCCTAAAAATGTTCAAACGACCCAAAACAATTCATTCAGACGGTCTGTTAGCCCCAGTATTCAAATCGACATTTCAGTAAGGGCGTAATGTGGGTTTGTTCAAATACTTGCTACACAACAAGACTTAAACAATACTGTAACAATATGAGATAATATTATTTATGATTCTGGATCCTAATATAGGATCCAACAGATTGTTGAAAATTCGATCCACCACCTTAAATGCTGGAGGATGAAGGTTATTACAATTATCTTAAGGATGAAGGAAATGCCTAGCTAATGAACTGTACATTGCTTCCATACACACACCAGTTACACGGGTTTCAGCTACCTAGACACATAGAACAGTTTCACAACACCGTACAAGCTATGATACATTACTCAACACAACAGATATAAAACTGTTGAGGCAAAAATTGCATTTAACTTGTTATGTTTTGAAATCCTTGCATCTAATTTTTGTATTTGTTTTATTTTTAAACACGTCTATACGGTGAAACGACCTACCCTGACACCAAATTACGTATAATGTACTCTAGTAAATCTGTACTCGAGTCTATTACTTTATTCACATGCTTGAGACTGTCTATAAATCGGTTTGTCTTTGACGTTTATTAAGAATGTCAGTTATTACATCTGTTTGCACCATCCCCGGCAAAATTTTTAAATAAAAATTTTAAAGTCAACTGTATTTACTATTTAAAACACAACAATTTAGGCTATAATATATAAACTGTAATCGTATAGCGCTCTTTCATTTTCGTCTGATGTAAAATAAATAGTGGAGATCACGGAGCTATTGAATCTGAAAAAAAAAAAATTCTTAGATTTGTAGTGTACTCAGATAAAATGGACTGAAGTGATAAGATCTCTGCAGTTCTAAAACTGGCGTCTACACTCTTACAGGGTCCCGAACAACAAAGCCAACTTCCCGCAGAGAAAGGGGATATGGTGCTTCATGTATGAGAGAATACCATATTGCACATGCTTACGAGTCTCGCCATAATGTAAAGAATCTTTAGTATGGCTGTGACTTTTGGTGATTACTTTGCTTAAATGGACTTCAGTCAGTGAAATGGTTTGCTTTTCTGTAATACATTGCTATAGTAGTTTGAATGAAAAGGGCTAATACGACCTCTTACCTAAGAAATGAGTAATTTTAATCGCCATGTGGAAATTTAATTTCAGAACTTTGCTGAAACGCGTATACCAACTTTAAATTATAAAAATCCGCTAAGACTGTAATGACTGTACATCATGTGTTAATAATTAATAATTAAAATGTAAACATGATTATAATGCAATACTTTACACGAATAAAAACTTAACAAAACAGAAAAGAAACTGGAAATAATTTCCTCTTATAAGTATAAACGCAATGGAAAACGGTAGTCCTAAAATCCATAAACAACCGATGCAAGAAGCATACAAAACTGTTGGAAAATCTACATGTATACATCTCCTTAAGAACTGAACTCAATGACATTCACTATTCTGCAGAGGACTAACGAATCAGTTATTATAATAGTCAGCATTTAGAGGATTCTAGATCAACAGTTAAAACAAATGTACTTAAAGAACTTCCAACATGAACACAATTAGAACAATTAATGTATGTACAAAATGCAATATTAAAAAGGTATGACATAACACTGCTTATAAATTTAATTATTCTGAAATACCAACACTTGTTAATTAAAATCAACGTTGTAAATTAATTAAACGTAATGAGCAAGTCAAATTATATAATATCGAAAATTTTACCATAATTCCGAAACAGCTTTGTGTGGACTCAGTTGTCTTGATCTGCGAAAATTACAAGGAAATGCATCCCACACTTCGGTATTCTGGTAAAAAGTAGCTTTGAAAACGCGATAAATATAAAGTATTTCGTGGAACAGTGTATTTCATCTCTCTCAAATTATAACTTATGGCATGTCAAGTATACCCTCTACAGCACATTCAGTTGCAGCTGCGGGACTATTCTGTGTCAACGAGTTCTTCGTTCATAATATTATGTATTCCTTGATCGATCCACAGTCCTGGCAGGAGTAATTTCAAATTCCATCTCATTTTAACACGATTTAATCAACACAGGGAAAGGTGTTTGAGCTGCAAAATCCTCGATCCAGGCTTCACTTAGCAAGTATCACAGTAAATTAACACCCATCACATTTTCCACACCTGGCTTAACATAAAAAGTCCCATTACAAAACAGTCAACATACTTCTTGCCGTGGGAAACCTTTCGTTCAAATTGACGTGTTTCTAAACTGTTCAATGAAATCACTTCGATTAACATTCCATGTCATACATTATAGCATGCCATGACGCTGCTTCACATGCTCACCACTCTACCTAAAGTTATCATGCATGGTTTGAATTTCTTGAAACCGCTACGAAGTGCTAACTTTTAATACCATTGAAACTTAACTCTCTGTCACACTGCATTCATCGTAGGAATTAATGTATAGTAACATAAGTGAATCCACAACAACGTTCTCTAACTTTCGGCATCGGATTGAAATAGAATTCTTGAAAAACCCAAAATAATTTCGTCAATTCACATCACATATAAATCCCGAAACTTAAAACCTGGAATAGAACCCATGGAGCTGTGATACTGATTTTCTAGAACATTTGGATCACAATTAAAAGGAACAGTCAACGCAGTAACACATGTGACCTACAACAGTTTATATATGCGGAAGGAAGTACTGTGCTTGTCTGGCATTTCTTTATGTTGGCACTTTCGCCACTGCCTTCAGAAGATCTGCTCCGGTGGTCTTATCCAATCCAAGTTTGTGCTGCTCATGGTGGTGATGGCTGATACTGTGATGCTGCTGCTGTTGCTGCTGTTGTTGCTGCTGCTCATGTTTCTGTTGCTTTTCTTGTTGCTGCTGTTTTAGTCTGTCTTGTTCTTCCCTCTCTCTTCTGGCTTGCTCATTGATTTCCTTCACGGCTCGAAGTTCTTTCTTCAACTTCATTCTTCGATTTTGGAACCAGATTTTAATCTGTCGTTCTGTCAGGCAAAGAGCATGAGCTATCTCAATTCTTCGCCTTCTGGTCAAATAGTGGTTAAAGTGAAATTCCTTCTCCAGTTCTAATGTTTGGAAACGTGTGTAGGTCTGCCGACCACGGCGCCTGGGACAGCCATTCGGACCTGTCAACAACAAGAAATACAATAAGGCATTTATTGATGAAGAAACGCAGAATCTGATGTGCTGCAGATGTACCTGTACTGGGAACTGCTGATGTGAAGGCTTGTTTGTAGCTTCACACTCTGTACATGACTTACACTTTAGTGATCACCTGAACACCAAGATATGGCCATCCAATAACATAGAATTTAGAGGGAACATTGTTTAAGACTGTGCAATTTCTGTGAAAAAATGAAAGTAAAGCAAAATCGTGAAATGTCGTACAACGAAATGAACTCAAAGACGTAACTTTAGTGTAGAACAGGGATCCCGGAAAACTATGGTACCCTTCAGCAATACACCCTCTCCTTCAACCATACAATGGATCCAAAAAAAGTGACTGAAACAAACTTGTAGCATATTATTATTATTATTATTATTATTATTATTAAGCAAATTGCAATGACGATATCTCGGAATTGTAAGAAGCAACACCAAAAAAAGGTAAAGTTCTCCCTGTACTTAAGTAATTAACCATTATGCCATGAAGACATCGGGGGAATGGAGGTATAGCTACAGAATTCTTAACCTCGGCACTGAATGGAGATGAGTGATCAGCTTCACTCTTCGGCTGTTTGTCCCAAGGGAAAGAGCCCCCGGTAACCACTGGATAGGAGGCTAGGTAAGCCTCGGAGCTAGTCTTTACATTTACGCAGGAGAGAAAATCTTGCCCCTGCCGGGATTTGAACCCCGGCCGTTCAGCCTACTATATGAGACAGACGTAGAAAAGTCTACCGACCCGACACGGAGTAATGTTTAATTTTATAAAAAATTCTGAAGTGTTCGGAAATTCATGTCATAGTAACCAACAAGTTCTATAGAGCAGCATCTTGCTATTCGCGTCAGAAAATCCCCTTGTTCTTATGAAGCTGATTGTTTGTCACAATTTCTGCACAAGTCCGGCACTTAACATATGGAATGTCAATCTGGTTAGCTTTCCGAAAATGTATTTCGTAAGATCAGCGTTACACGTCACGCGCCACACTCCAATCTACCTTCATATCAGTCAAGTGATATCCTCTTGATACTGCCTAACCAAAACGTGTGCCGAGCTTCACGCGATTGAAGTTTTCACGGCACTGACTACTGACTCAGTTGTGAGACGTAGTTTTGGGAGATCCGAACGTTTCGCTGGAACATAACGCCTCCATTTCCAGGACCGAAAAATAAGCCAAGCTTTCCATCTGCTTCTGCATGTTTTTTGCTCCGCTTATTCGTCGGCTCTGAAGATTAAGGAGATATGTTCTTCCGAAACGTCCAACGCGTTGAAATTTCAAATGGGAATTGCTAAAAACAAACTTCCTCAAAAATATTTAACCATAATGACTGGGAAGTTTTTGGAGGGGCGTGCATATATATATATATATATATATATATTAAAGTGGCGGAAAAAAAGTATTCACTAAGACGTGCATCTATTTACAGGAAATTTCTTCGGTAAAGATGGAGACATCAATACTTACTCAAGCAAAACTTCATGCCATTTTCTGTTTTATTTATAACTACGTGTTAACCAACCAACATACGTGCATCGTTTAGCCATATACAGGTGTTCTTATATTTTAGCGTCCTGTTGCACTGATTTTCATCCATTATATGTATACAGTGGCCGTCTTGTAGTGCACTCAATTTCACCTGTCACTTCACAACATGTTTCGGCAACATAGTGCCATCATCAGGTGTCCCAATTACGTCAATCTATTGCATTGCCTGCCCTCATATATTTTCACAACACCATTCAAAAAGTATTTAAAAAGTCCGTATAAACACTCGCAGCTAAGAAGGGAAGACACATCACAAGACGTGGTTTACACAGAAAATAAGAAAAACGACCCCGTAGTGAACGAACCACATGCAAGTTTTAATTAAGACAAATAAGATGAATTATCTTAACAAGTTTTAGCGAGTGTAAATTTATCACAATTGACAAATACGGACTTTTTAAATAATTTTTAAATGGTGTTGTGAAAATATATGAGGGCAGGCAATGCAATAGATTGACGTAACTGGGACACCTGATGATGGAACTATGTTGCCGAAACATGTTGTGAAGTGACAGGTGAAACTGAGTGCACTACAAGACGGCCACTGTATACATATCATAGATATACAGGTATATTGGACCAGTATCAAGTCTGTTCATATTTCAAAGGAAATGTTATTAATTCCCATCTGTAACTACGGATGGACAGATAACCCTTCCCCTGAACCATTCTCGATACACATATTTTATAGCCCTTGGAGGACACACTGAATCCATCTGAATAAGAAATCTATGAATTTTAGAAATTCTGGAAAAGCAACTCGCGGTGTTGCACAATAGAGATAACGTTCTTTGAGAAAATGTCTCGAGGTTGATATATTAACCAAAGCACAAGTGCCTCTCACGCTCCTCTTGCTGCTGTCAGCATTTGGTATACTAATGTTGCTACACAGAGACAGAATTGCTCCATGATAAAGACATACAATTCTAAAACAACATGAACAAACGAATATTAAAAAATTCATGCAATATATTAGTGAAGTTATGTAATCAGCAACATTTAGTTGTAAATACCTTAGAAGATGTAGGAATCATGAAAATGCGTGTATTTTTATTTGACATTCAAGTTAAATTTTTTCTAAAGTCATTTTTGGGCAAAGAAATCCTAAAAGAAGGTTGGGAAGGAAATAATGCAGTTGGAGGAAACTACTTATTGCAGGTTCCAATATTAAATTTGACTCCAGTAGGTTTACTTTGTCATAACTGGTTTGCAAGGATATTTTGAACTTATATGCGTTTCTACACATTACAGTAAGTATGGTAAAAGTGGACAGATATTTTACATTTCTGTCTACGGTGCTGTGGTAAATAATGTTCATAACTTCGCAAATGTTCGAAATAATGCAGCAAAGGCACCATATTTCGAATACTTAAGGCAGGATCAATTTTTTATTGATATAATCGTTAATCTTTAGTACTTTGTAGCGTTCATGTAACTTAATATGTCTAGCATGAGAATCAGTACTTAACAAAAGCCAGAAACTTGTACGGCGGGGGGGTCTGAGTAAATGATAACCCAATTTCGAATAGGGTTGTTCCCTTATTTCGGACAGGTAACAATTTTTTAAGAAACGTATTTAATAAAAAGCATAATAAAATAGAAGGAACAATGGAAAAAAGGATTTACAGTACATAAAGAAGAAACAGTAATGTTTAAAAATATTAATTGCATGAATATGTGCAAAATAATCGCATTGTTTTCAACAGAAGTTAACACCTCATATGAAGAAAACACTTTCGAGTTACAATTCAAATTCGACGGCCTATCAAGTGCAGTACTAGCATAAGTACGTCTTTTACAGCCTGCACTGCACTTCACATGGAGTTTGCTCTTCATTCCATTCTTTCAGTAACAGCCACCTAAGAATGAATAAAACACGAAGACTACATAAAACAAGGTTCCTAATTTCGGATACTCCAAAGTCGCAACCATATTAATAAGTATCCGAAGGTAGGGAACCCAGTGCCAATGCAAACACGGCAGCATAACGGGGAATTGAAGCTTTTGGAAGCAATGGAAACACATTATATACATGTTATAATGTGTGTAATTTCATATAAATGTGCAATTTAAAGCTCGAGTACTCTTTCGAAACCTAAATATTACATCAGAATCGGCAGAAACACACAGAGACAGCAAAGCAACACTGCTGCTTCAATGTTTGTTCTGCCGCTCCAGAGAAATTGTTTGGATAGGAAGTGTAAGTGCCTGTGGCCACCACCGCAGCGCTGTCCTTACTTCCTGAGAACCACGCTATCCGAAATTGGGAGCCTCTCAGAATTACGGTGACTTCACCATGCTGATGGGCAGCACAGACATAACCTGACTGCTGAAGTTTAACTAATTTCGTAACAAGAATTTAAGTACGAAAATTGTATTCAATACTTTTAACATTTATATTTCATAAAACAATATGCATTATGGATATTGTCGTTTCTCTACCATATTTGTTGAGCATTATGTTTAGTGCACAGGCCTACACAGACATCTTAAAGCTTTAAATATAACCTATACACCCTAAAGTACCGCGGCCCGGCGGTTGAGAAACAATGCCCTAAAGTGACCCAGCTAGGACTCAAGTCGCAATAATGAATTCACTCAAACTTCCATATTCCAAAAAACTGACAGTACCCAAGTAAAGTCAATAACCTAAAGTCTGATCTCCGGCATGAACTGCTCTTACTCTCAGAAACTGGCGATTTTGGCAAAGTTTATTTTCACACAACCGGTTTTGAAATAACTTTTGTTTCTTTTTCCTTGAAGGCTATTCCACGCGTTTCTTCTGAGCCAGTAAGGTACGCATCGTTTATATTCAAACAACGTTGTTTTAGTAGCCGGCATGGCTCAGTCGGTACAGCGACGGGCTAGGAGCTGGACAGCAGGACAATTGGGGTTCGATTCCCTACAAGGGAAAGTGGATCCTTCCTCCATAGCGTCAAGAACGGCTCTGGGACCCACACCGTCTCGCACCTAATGGGCAGCGAGTGCTCTTCCGGGGGTAAAGTGGCCGGAGCGTGAACTTGACCACTCACCTCAGCTCCCTGATGCGGTCTTATGATGTGATGCTTAATTAAGCACAAGGACAAATTAACCTTTATCAGTGTCCTCCTGAAGGATTTCAATGTTTTCTATATTTAGAGCTCGTCTTTATGCGTACAGAGCGGAACTGTAGAGTCTGGGCAAATCCTTCCTTCCGAACTTTGCTCTGAGACTTCCTGAGAGAATATCACATGACAGCCAAGCAAGTAAACGGTTATAAACCTCCTTTTCAGTCTGCTGTGGGTTGCAGAATGCATTTCGAATGTTGGTGGTAAGATGAATTCCGGAACTTCGCATTCGTCTCGGAATGCAATGACACAGGCAGTTTGCGCTGCAGATGTGACGAGGATGCTTTTGAATATTCTGTTAGTACAAGGACA